GAGAAAAAACAATATTGTGAAAATTCATCACGTCCCTAGTTTACAGATGCAAAACCACACATTCAGCTGCCAGTTCCCCCTTATGTTCCCATGAGAAATTTTGAAGCATGGCTCATAAGATGGCCAAAAAACCCAATGACGTAGGACGGCAACAACAGGACATAAGAAGAGAGCAAAAGAACAAACAATGCAAGAATGCAAAACCACTGAGGACCCAAGAAGTCACCTAACACCAGGCAAGGCCAGAGTCAGTGTCCTTGTTCCCTGCTGGCAGCTGTTTGGCATGGTCTTGGCTGTAGGCCACCCATCACCTGCGACTTCTTTTTTCTCATAACAGAGATTCAGGAGATTACATTTGGGATTGTGTCCATGCATGCTTACACTCCCTCTCTGATGTATTGATTCATAACCCATTGAACTCTGGACTTATTCATGGGGAAGCAAGGAAGAAATATTCACAGACAGTGTCAGTCCATTATAACAACAGTGACACACTTTGAAGACTGATGGGTTTTATTTGGCAAAAGCTTTCATAAACCGTAGGCCACTCCTCTCTAGTCACACCAAGAAAAAAACATTAGCCTTTCAGTTGATTGATTGATTGACTGATTGATTGATTGATTGCCACAAGGCTCTGTTGCTTTCTCATACTGTGTTCCTTTGTCCATTTGAAAGCAGAGACAGGCAATCTGGGTGAGGCTGAGGGTCATCTTTCAGAGTTGCTGGTAGCCTTCATTCCCTCCCTAATTTGAATATTATTATTTTTAATATTAAAAATGATGCTCTCATTCTATAGTGTAGAGCTAGCCACCATGGGCTTTTTGTTAATGGGAAAATGGAATTAATTTTAAAATGAAGTGATTCCTAACTGAAAAGGCCTTTTCATACACTCTAGAGGCCATATAAAACATTTTTCAATTTAAAAAATTGAAATTGGTGAGGGATATGGGGAGCCCTAGGGTTGCTGGGAGCCCCTCAAAACATGCCCCCACAACTCCTAAAGAGCACAAGAAGACTTCTGAGGAAATTATTCTGCCACATTTTTTAAAACTGAGATGATGCAAGAGGGGCTGGGGACTCCCAAGGTGGGGGCTGAGGCGCTCAAAAGAAAAAAAAAATGGCCATGAGAGTCAGCACCGATCTATTACACACAGAAACGACAGGTGTGAGAGGATCTTACATCTTCCCACACAAGAAAGCTAAGACAAGTCACTTTTTGGGCTTCTCCTCCCTGTTTCTGAGAACAATTCTCCACAAAAGCCATTTCCCCCCACTGTGCTTTCGACTGCTTGGAGTGCTGGAAAAACTGACCAGCCCAGATTTTGAGGCATACCCAGAAGGCTTTTCTGATGAAACATCCTTTAAAAAAACAAGGTGGTTCACCCCATACCTGGGCTCACAAACAGAAACAACAAATGACAAGGCTGGCATACAAAATGGCTGGCAGCTGGGCCGACTCCCTCAGCTGTGGGTAGATACTGTATTTCAGTTCGGCTTCACTAGCAACCGACATCGGCTGCCAGGATATTGGGCACCGTGAAATGAAAGCTGAAACCATCCGGCCATGGTTGAGCAACTTCTGGATCTAATAGGTCACGCCTTCCTGGCTCCCTTTGAAAACCTACAGCTAAAACAAAATAGACTGCCAGGTGAAAGGTGTGCCATTATTCATTCCACATTGGAGTTGGACTGCATTTTCTTTATTTGGAGGTTTCAAGAACTATATAAGGGCAGAGAAGGGAGAAGCTGCTTTTTTTGGATTACGACAGTGGTCAAGCAGGGAGATGTGGACCAAAAACACACGCCACTTGTCCCCTCTCTGCATGGGGAAGTATGAATTCTGAAAATCTCAAGCAGAAGTGAGTGTCCAGGTAATATCTTGGCCAAACAGTCATTTGTGCTGTATAAAGAAAGTGAATCGAAGCAAAGTGTGCTGCTTCCATACTGCCCCATAGTGCTTAAAGAGCTCTCCGTATGGTTTGCAATTTAATTATGTAGGGTACACATTTCCTTCCTATAGTGAGCTGGGTACTCAATTTATTGAGCTTGGAAGGATGGAAGGTTGAGTGATCCCTCGAGCCAGCTACCTGAGCCCATCAGGAACAAACTCAGGTTGAGAGCAGAGTCTTGACTGTAGTGCTGCAGTTAAACACTGCACCACAAGGCTCCTCCATTCATACATTCATTAGTCTAGTACACTTTCACTGCATTAAGAGACCAGTTTTCTTGTGTGATCTTAACAAGGGTCATTGATAATCACAAAAATAAATTTTGCCAAACCTTCACATTTACTTTTGAGATTGCCTTCACTTCAAAACTGGTTCCCCAGCAGAAATGAGGAGAGGGCAGCTGGTAAAAGAGAAGTGGTCTCAGATCTCCCAGGGTATTTAGGACTGCCTGCACTATTAGGTTTTGGCAGGTTCTTCTGTGTGAATTCCTTCAATGAGTTTCTTAAAGTAAAGACCAGAATCCCAGCAGTATTTGTGTTACCTGCCACACCTACTTGTGACTAATTGACAAGGTGCCAGGGCTCATCTCAGTTGTGCGATAGGGCAGGGGACCAGGCACCTCCCCCAAGATGACCTCCAGCACCTCATCAATTAGCTGCAGTTAGCCATGTCAAGCTATGCAAACCTTATGCGAACATCAGTAAAATTCTAGCTCAAAACAGTATGATGTTTCACATTTGGCATATTTATGGCCACAAAGCAGATTTTGTCCTCCTTTCTCCCACAAGTTTGCTTGTCTGCAAGTTCTAGACAGTCTTGCTTTTGGTCATTAACCAAATATGCTAATTTAATTAAGTTGCCTTCATGCTGCATAGGTGAACTTTTGCTAAGTGCTCTGTCTGTCTAGCAGATTGCTGGTGAGTTATATTGTGTACAACAAACTGGAAAAAACCCTCACAGCAAAAACACAAGGGGGAGTACCTGGATGCTGTTGGCCTGGTCTGATCCAAGCATTGCTTCTTAGCACCTATCAAGCCCAGACAACCACAAAGGAACTTTGGGAGTAGACTAGCTGGGAAGGCTTTCTGGTCCTCTCACTTTCTCACCTCTACTTCCTCCTGCCTCTACCTTCTGACCTCTACCTTCCTTCCTATCTTTAGACTGATATTTTCAAGTTCTGCCTTTGAGTGTCACTTCCTTTCCTGAATCCCTAAGGAGCAGATGTGCTGATGATCCTCTTCACATACCCTCCAAGAACAGATGTCTAAGTAAGATAAAGGTAAAGGTTCACCTTGACATTTAGTCCAGTCGTGTCTGACTCTAGGGGGAGGGGGTGGTGCTCATCCCCATTTCCAATCCATAGAGCCAGCATTTGTCTGTAGACAGTTTCCGTGGTCATGTGGCCAGTGTGACTAGACACAGAACGCTGTTACCTTCCCACCATGGTGGTACCTATTTATCTATTCACATTTTTACATGCTTTCGAAATGCTAGGTTGGCGGGAGCTGGGACAAGCGGCGGGAGCTCACTCCGCCGCCTGGATTTGATCTTATGACTGCTGGTCTTCCGACCTTGCAGCACAGAGGCTTCTGCAGTTTAACTCACAGTGCCACCATGTCCTTCACACGTCTAAGTAGTTAAAGTTAAGGTTTAGGCCTTTCTATCTGGATGCAACTTTCTTAATAAAGTTTATTCCTTGGCTTGTAACTGTGCCTCCTCCTTTAAGAGCCCCTGTGTCTATGCAACACACATTTTGCTACTGGCAGAAGCCTTAGTATTTTCCATCTCACTCACATGTGTAACCTCTCCTTCCCCTCTTCTGCTCCCTGCATATCATAATAGGCAAAACTCTCTGATAAAGTTAAACAGGAAACAATCCCTGAGCATCTCTTAGTAACTGCTGATGTTATTAATATGCCATCAAGTCAACTGGCTCTTCCTAACCATGTTTGCACCTGGCTTAGTCACCGTATCATCAGTTTGCCAGAGTCATTGAGAGTTAATCTGCCTCACACTCTCTCTTCTTCCCAGCTGTTGGCCACACAAACGGCCTTCAAAATGGTGACTGATCCAGACCAATAATTTTGCAGGCCAAATTATTATGTACAATTTTCCAGGTGGTCCATCAGAATGAAGTTCAGTAAATGCTCCTTCCTAAAACCTCCCAGCAACCACAGCTTAACCCAGGGTTTTAGAGAACAGATTCTAGTATTCCTGAGTTGTGTCGGTGGTGACGGATGGGAACTGAAATCTGAAATACCAGGTTGATGAAGATTTCCACCTGATAACAATGGACAATTCATGAACCAGAGGATTGGGCATATGGATATCGGAATAATTCACTCATAAATCTATTCAGCAACTCCCTCCTCCTCTTAAGAGAAATGTGTATTTCATGTTATCCCAACATTTCCCTTTCACGGGGACCCAAACATTCCAAAGCCACCCACCTGAGATATCGGACATGCAAATGGAGCCCATGTTTATCTCAGACATGCAAATGAAGCCCATGTTTATTGCTAAGCAAAACCAGGCCAAATGAAGCCCATGTTTATCTCCCAATGAAAAATTGCTAAGCAAAAACAGGTTAATTTGCAAAATGAAGGTGGAAATAAATTGCAATAAAGGGGCAGTCTTTTGCCTATTAAGGGAGCTCTGCTTTTTATGACATGTTAGCTGTGTTCAACTGTCAAAGAAACCTAAAAAGTATAGTTTTGTGAGGGGGGCTCCCAAAAATTCTCAATATCCTTCACAAGCTACAATTTCCAAGATATTGTGTATGACAGTCATGGAAACTATGGAAGTTAAACATAAACAGAACTGTTATAAGTTTGTATTGCAGCATTTACCATGGAAGTTTCTTTTACTCCTGAGAAAGATTTATTTTTCTCTTTGGGGGAAATAAAGTTCTTGTAACTAGTAGCAGAAGATGCATGAGCTCTAGAGTACAAGAGGAAAGAGCCTAGAGCAAGAAAAAGTCTATAGCAAGAACGGTCTTTTAACCAATGAACAAAGTCAAAATACTTTTATGCCTTGATGGTTCACACTTACAGTTTACTACTCAGGGTTTCATAAGCCTTAGTGTCTTCAGTGAGTCTGTAGGGAGAAAACAGCAAGCATATTGTCAATGGCTAGTCTTCATGATAATGACAGTTGAGTCCAGAGGCTCTGAACCCTGAAAACCCAGGATTATAAATCTATGTCACAAGAGCTTGTAAAATAACAAGAATTAAGGGGATTTTTTCCCCCAGGAAAAGGTTACATTGGCTGAAATCCTGTGTGAGATTGATAACGTCATCAGCTGCGGTGAGTTTTTGGCAATACTTCCAAATTTCCCCCCAAAGGTCCGAAGACTTTTGTGGAGTCTCCTTCATTGTCAGAAAGTTGAGGGTTGCATGATGGTGGGAGAAGATCTTGAATTATTGGCAATTGCTGTAGCCAGGATGATTTTACTAGTGGAGTTGATTGTTGGTAATTAAAAGACTCCCTACGTCCTGCTGCTGCTCTCAGTGGCTTCCCAGGGATCAGAGGAATTTCATGGAAACCTCAGGGCCTTTAAGGGAGAAACTGGAAGAGTACTGTCTTCTGTAAAAAATAAATCAATCCAGCTGATGATATTATCAGCCTTCTGTGGTGTAACTTATGTAACAGGATTTCAATCATCAAATAGGTTTGGAATTCTAGAAGGCCTCGGTGGTTCAAAGGGATTTTTTTAAAACATGCACTGCTGTTCAATGTGGGTTTGTGAAATTCCTTCATGTTTCCCTATGTGAACATTCCTGATCCAAATGTCAAGGCTAGTTAGGGTTGCCAGCTCTTGATGTCTGGGAATTGGTTGCTTCCTTTGGTCTCCAGTGGAGTCTGATTACAGTAGGACCATGATATCACTTATTCACTGCCTGAAAATATTAAATAATGCCCTCACCTGAGAAAAATGTATTTTGAAGATGTATTATCAGAGTTCCCTATGTGAACATTCCTGATCCAAATGTCAAGGCTAGTTAGGGTTGCCAGCTCTTGATGTCTGGGAATTGGTTGCTTCCTTTGGTCTCCAGTGGAGTCTGATTACAGTAGGACCATGATATCACTTATTCACTGCCTGAAAATATTAAATAACGCCCTCACCTGAGAAAAATGTATTTTCAAGATGTATTATCAGAACTGGCCATTAGAGGGAACCAGCAACTATGCAATATATAGGGTAAGCTACAACTGTGATTTCCAAGGGCTTAGAACTGACCCCCAAAGGATACCATGGACCTATAGTATATCATGTATGATGGCCATAATACTTGGCATTCATCTTCTTCCTACTTTTGACTGGCATCAGGGCTTACTGGCTCAGCATGGTGTGTCTATCTTTGTGGCACACAATTTTATCTGTCTCACTCATGGAATTGCATGTGTGCATCTACACAAACACATATTACCATTTTGTAGTTGTTATGCAGGGTCCTAACTTCTGTGACATCACAATGACCCCTGGCCTAGCCTTAGTTTTTGACCTTGAAATCTCAGGAAATTGGAATGTGCTGAGCTAGGCCATCTAGAGGAAGCTAAGCAAGGAACAAGCATTTTTGTGCAGACACAAAAATGACAGATGTAGACAAGGTCCGGCACTTCCTATACTGCCTGTCCCCCCCTCCCCCTTTTGAGGTACAAAGGCTTCGAGGACAGATTGCTCAAGTCTCTCTGAACTGTGGTGCTAACTCTGTCAGACTTAGGACAAATGGCAAATTAAATACATATTTTTTACAGTCAATCCCTATTGAGATTTATATGGGCAACAATTAAAGCTGTTCCTTGGCTTGTAATGTCTCCGAGAGAGGCTGTTATTCCAGAATAGAGGTACTGTAAAGTCTAAGTACTTGAGTCTTGGTGTCAATCCAGACATTTTGGGACTCTTCACAGGCCACCATTAAAAAAAAGGATATCCATCTTGGGCAGCCTCTTTCTAAACTCCACTTTGGAAAAGTACTGTCTGCAATAATTACTAGAACAAACAGTCAGAAGAACTCTGAGCCAAACTGTCTGAAGTTAGAAGGAATCCTGCAATGGAACTGCTCTTCTCTTGGTATTGACCCTTAGAAAACAAAGGCCTGAATCTCTACAAGTGGCATATAAAAACATGAAAGCTAAAGGAAAGAAAGAAAGAAATTCTCGTGAAATACATTGAGAACATACTTATCTCTCTCCCTTCACCCTTTCTAAATTAATTGGTGAGTGATGCTAGCACATCCTTTAATACAGGCCATTACTTGTTGTAGTACTTGTTACCGTATTTTTACGTGTGTAAGACCCCCCCCCCACATTTCCCAACCCAAAATTAAGAAATCAATATTTTAAACATACAACAGAACACATTTTAATTTAGCAATTCGGTAACATTTACATACCAGTACTGTCATATTATGCATCACACTAAGCTGTGAGCATGTCACTTTATTCAGCCTCTGGGCTTGGAATGCTCCGACATTACCAGCCCCTGTTGCATCTGAGCACTGCCTACAGGCTCTACCTCCAATGAGGTGTGTTCCAATTGGTTTGTTCAGCATCAGCTGACGTCAATTACGTAAGGATCATGATTGGAGGAAGCTAAGTCTCCTGACTGTAGGAAGCTAAGGCAGTTAAGCCTCATGATTGAAAGAAGCCTGTTTGCAGAGGCAAGGTATGGGCAGTTTCCCAATTGTGCAGTTCTCTCCTCGGCTTACTGACATGTATAACACGACCCTCAGTTTTTAGTCTAAAGATTTTAGACAAAAGTATCATCTTATACATGGAAAAATACAGTACTTTTTTTTTTTAAACTTTCCAAGACTGATAAGAGAGTCATTAAACATGGACAAGTCCTGTTCATATGGTCTAAATGGCTTGAAAGGTAACTTTTTCTAATTTAAAAGTAACTAGAAAAAGTAACTTGTTAACAGCACCACAGCGATGTTGTTCCTAATCATTCTGTTATATTACAAATATAACTTTGTTACACCCTTGTTATTGAACAAATAACCACTTATAGGTAACTACTTCATAATTCAGTGATCTAGAGCAGCTGGTTGCAGAGCCAAAGGTTAATATTTCGATTCCCTGAGGCGTCATGTGGGAGAAAAGCCAGGCAGTATAGTCTTGGGTAAGCAACATGGGCCCAGAGTCCCCAGAAGAAGGTAAACTACACTGTATTCAGAAAATTTGGAAAGGCTCACTGTAAGTTGGAATTGCTTTGGTAATTATTATTATTAATTATTCACAGGTAACAGCATTACTTGCAACGTGTCAGTTCTGAAGCTCTGCCTGCAAGTAAAGATGTGGGAAATTGTTGTAATTTCTCTCCCATTTTAAGGTACGTATGGGAAAGACTGATGTCTCAAACCATTTTTACATAAATGAGTGTTTTTAACTGAAAAAAGTCCCTCGACTCCCTCTAGTGGCCAAAAATATATTTTTTAATTTTTAAACTTTTAAATTGGGCATGTGGGGACCAAGGTGTTTAGCCAAATTGTCCCTCTAAAGAAGGCAGTAGAAGGTGTTTTGAGACTTCTCCCCCCCCCTCAAAATATAAATTCTTGGGATATCAGGTGTGCTAGAGGGGCTGGGGGCTGGATGGCTATATGTTGCCCACCCATAATGTAGACAATAATGAGATGGAGTAGCCAATGCTTTAGTAACTCCGTACGTATAAGACAATTTCCTATGCCCAACAGCTGGTGGTATGTGCAGTTCAAACACAGCATAGGAAGCCATCTTGTAGTGACCGATAGCAACTCATCTGGGTCCAATCTAAGCCATTACCATCTTCACAGAGTGGTACCATAGGCTTTCAGGATGGTTTCCTTCCCAGCCCTGCCTGGACCTTTTCATCTACATCTGATTCTATGGAACCACATTTCCCTTTCTCAGCATACCTTGAGGCAAGAAGGCTTCGGTAGGTTGCCCCCTCTAAGATAAGGACACTGGAAGGGAAATTAGGTCTTCTCTATCTTCTCAGGTAATAGATATTCCCTGTCTATGAGATAAGAGATGTTCCCTATCTCTTACCATACGCAGTGGTAAGATAGGAAAGGTCACCTGGTTGTCCAGGCAACGGGATGACTTCTCTGTCATTTGTGCTGCAAATTGGGGAGAACAAGTTGGTGTAATTCATTATAGCTGGGAAGTTTATAAGCAGCCAAGGAAGGAATTAATTGAAGATCCATGTGGGGGATTTTCCAGGGAGCCAGTCTTTCCCCTGTAACTCAGCCTTAAGAACAAAGACTGTTCGGAAGAACCATCAAGTCAGAAGTAATTAGTGAAGGCAATTAGGGGACGGATTCTTAAAATTATTCTTCACTTATCTAGAGCAGTTCACAATATTATTTGCTCGCCAACCCCAATGGAGTTCCTGGGTGACATTTTTGCATGCTGATGAAATGTGTATTGCAAATGCTCTGACTTGAGTAAAGATCAGTGGCATATCAGTAAATGTCAACATGCAGGCATTCATCAGGGCAGATGGCAAATGCTGATGGGCACAGAACTGGTATAGGCGCCACTGGACCTGCTGTGTTCTTTTGTATATGGAACCATGGGCAAAGCAGAGGTGGCAGGCAATGGTGGCTTGTCCATTAGGGAAGTAAGGGTGATGCCCTCTTTGCATGCCCAGGCGACACCCATCCTGCCTGCCTCCTTATCAGAGGCAGAAGATAGAGATGGGCATGAACCAGAAAAACGGTGGTTCGTGATGGTTTGTGGTTAATGGCTACCCATGAACCATCACGACCCCTCCCAAAAATGAACTGGTTCATGGTTTGTTTTTCAGTTTGGCCGAAGGAAGACCATCTGCCCACCTGCGCCCTTACCACTGCCCCCCGTGGCCTTCCTCCCTGGTCCTGCATCCGCTGCCATCCTGAGAGGCAGTGGCCGGCTCCAGGAAGGGAGGTGGGCCTGCTGTCTCTCCACGTGTGGCTGCAATAAAAAGGATTCCTGAACTGGATCACAAATGGAATCACAAGCCAGCCCAATTTGTTGGCTTTTCTAGTTTTGCACTTCCTCAAGTAGCAAAGCGTTCCGGGTTGGCTGAGTGTGTAGTGTGGGAAGGCCATCATATGTGTCTCCCGCTCTAA